TTCAGAATATCTAGGCTTGGCCCTAGATTAAAATTTAAGCCTTCCTTCTATTGTCCTTGACTACTCTTTTTTTTAATTAGGATTACTCCTTAATTTAAGAACTATCATCTTTATCATCAGTAGTAGTAATTCAGACATCCTGGATCCGTACTGAGTGTCAAACACTCTGCCAATCATTTTATTTGCATTATCTCATTTATTCTTTATCAATAGTCTTGATGGTATGACTGTCCCCATTTTACAGGTGAAAAAACTAAGACTGAGAGCAATAAATAACATATCCAATTTAACAAGGAAGAGTCAAACCCAGATCTACCTGATGCCAAAGTATAAGCTCCTAAAGCACTTTATAATACTATATCCCTCAATACTAAAAAATACTCGAGTTTCAGTTCTTTATGAAATCCAAAGAATAGCTATCCACCTCCCACAACCAACTATCTGTTAGTTCTCCTGCAAAGTACCTTTAGCAACTGAAAATTTGCTTTGCCTTTACATCCTCCAAACTGGCAAGGCTACATTTTGAGAAACAGAGTCAGTTTTGTGTTAAATCCCTGAAGGCAATGAAAGCCTTCAATTAAATAATTACACTTACTAAGAATTCTAATTATGATACCAAGGTAAATATATGTTGCATAACAAGAATATTAAAACAGTTACCATTTATTGACTACTTACTTTGTGTCAGATGCTTTATGTACATTATCACTAGGATAGAGAGTATTTTTTCTCACTTTACATATCAGGAAACTGAGGCTCAGAAAAGAACTGCTTAATACAGTTGCTTACACGGTAGGGTTGGTAATATAAACATGTATCTGTCAGACATTAAACCCAGGTGCTTTCTATTACAGCAAGAGGAAAATGTTTCAAAACACATTTAAAAAACTAAGGTGTGGGGGGCCTGCAAGTCTTTGTTTCTCCCATACTGCCACCTGTAGTAGATTCCTGCTCAATAGTGTAGTGTTGGCATGTATTTTTAAAATTTTTTAATTTATACCATTATTTCATTTTAAAAAACAAACAGGCTAAAAATATTACAATCTCTATTTTCTATGTATCCTAAGAATAAAGATAATTCTATACAGCAAATGAAAATACATTGCTGTTAAACAACTTGTTATTTAGGTCTAAGTTAGTAACCAAGATTAAGTGGTTTTAGAAATACTAATGTTACTTTATATACATCAATACAAGTTAAATCATAATGTTAACAGAAAACCCTTAGAATGTTGCCTGCTCCATTCAGTTAAAATTAAATTTAATACAGAGATCCACAAAATCTGTAAGGGCTGAATGTCTCTAAGTTTTTTAAGGCTGTAAAATTATAAAGCAATCTCTTTTTAGAAAGAAAAAAATTGCAGTATTTTTAAATTGTGCTATAAACAGAAGCAAGTGGGTTTGTTAATAAAATGTAGTGAAATTAGTGAAGGACAAAAAGAATTAAATTACATCAGATAGAAGCTACTCTTAAAAAGAGGAATTGAGTTGTTCCATGAGATGGCAGCATTCTAAGAGTCAGCAGCTACTAATGCCCCCACCTATTAGTTAAGGGTGATAGTGAAGGGGCAAGGGTACAGTACCTGATGATGGGCAGGTCGAGGCCCCGCTGCAAACTGAGAAGAGGAGGGAAAACAAACACAAAAGGAAAGGCACAAAGAGTCAGAAACACCACAACAAAAACCAAAATGTCACACAATATGCAAAAAGAAAAAAAACCCACAAGGAAAAAAAAACACACACAGAACAGTCAAAGCTTTGCTGCAGGACAGTGACAGACAGGTACTAAGATTCAACAGGTTAACACTACTACCAGGATATTTGTCATTTACCAGCTGGGGGGGAAAGCTAAGCTGATAGGCACATAGGGTACCCTCTTGATAATATTTTGAGGAAAAAGCCCTGAAGGCAAAATTAAGCTTGAGGCACTAGATAGTTATATTAAGACAAACGTGAAAATTACATATGTTGTATGTAAATGACATAACTGGAAGAAATGAGAAACGTTTTTACATTACAAGACATAGCCAGGAGATAATTATAAAGTCCAGTAGAAAACAAAGAATGTAATAAGACTAACTACAAATTTTCTTAGGTTAAATGGAATTATCTTATACATGAATGTAAGTTTCAGTATCTTCCCTTCCTCCTTGGGAGTTAAAAGAATAAAATTTCACTATATATATGACTTTAAATGAATATCTAGTAAAGTTTAATACCAGGCATTTCAAGGCAAACAGCTAGTAAAGAACATCAGTCTTTAACATAATTAAGCAAAGTGATACTATTATAGGCTCAAGAAGAAAAAAAAACAAGTCAAACCTCTCAATTATTATATAATAACAAAACACTGTACAAAAATACATACTGCTATCTGATATAACAGTAAAAGCAAAAGAAAATGTAACTCCTCGGCTAAAATCAAAGAATACTTGAAAGTGGATAATATATATCCCAACTCTTTCCCTAACTCAAGATTGGAAGAAAAGGCTTCTTCACCCATGGAATTTTCATTGCCAAACCTCTAAGATCAAATAGTTCATCAGAGTAAATTTAGCTTCCAATACATTTTAACTAAAAAAGATAAAATTTTTGAGGTATGTAGAGCCATGAACTGGCTACTAATACATTAACTATTAGAATGTTAACCACCCTCTTTAATAGTGAAAAGAAAATATTTAGAAAACCATTTGAATATAAACCATACAGGGTTTTTATTAAATATATTTAAGGAACTAATATATAAATTAGTTTTCTCTATACAGCCTTCCTTCTGTCAGCTTATCACTACAGATTAATTAGACTAAAGATTAAGAAACAACCCCTGATGCTCGGATTTAAGTTATGTTCAACAGCAATTTGCAAGTGATTTGGAATTATTCCCCCAACTGCCATTATTGCATATTTTAGAAATTCAACGAACTGCAGATCTCATAGCCACAACGTAGGAGAAAGCTGAAGACAGCTCTATAAAGAATTCGCCTTGGAAGCTAAAATGTCACCTATTGTTCAAGTAATACAAGTGCTTTAATAACCTATATGCCCAGGGTATATCAAGTCAGTCATCATATTTAGCTTATCACTGTAATATGCTTTTTCAGAATGATTATCAGCAGCTTTGATTTTTTCAGAAATTTTTCTCTTCAAAGAAAGGGAGGTCTTACATTTTCAGATTTCCAATTAGTAGAAGAAAACAGATCATACCTCTACTATGGACATCAAGTTTCAAGAATAGGCAATACCATCCATGTGGTATGAAAGTAGGGGATGGAAACAAGATGTTTGTGACACTTTTGAAGAAAATGGAAGAGAAGGGCCACGTTAAAAAATTAACCTGAGTACAGCAGTACCTGTCTTATCACTGTTCCACAGAAAAGGTCCCATTTCTAAGGCTCTAAAATAAAAGATGAAACTATACATTTAGAATGTGCCAGTCAAAAGAGAACTTTCTATGAACAAGAGGAATACCTTATAAAAATGTACATATATATAAAAATTTTGAAAAAAGAAAATCCACGTTAGTGGAAAAGTGACCTGGGAAAGTACCCTAGTCTATTTTGCACTAGTCACCATTGGCTATTGAGTTTTTCATTTGAAATGACAATAGTCTTAATCCTATGGGTAGCTGTAAGCAACAGAACAAACTGTAGTCGCTGCTGGCTCATATTAAAAATAGAAACTTTTATTTCTTTCATCTTTATTTTTTAAACAGGTGTCTTTAAGATGGTGAGAAATATAGATATAAAGGAAAGCAGCCTTCTGTGAACTTGGATCCAATGTTAATGCCACCCACCCACCCACTCTCTCACCCTTTCTGTGCACAGTTGTTAACTGAGCATAGCCAACATAACATTGATGAAATTTTGGCACTTAGCACCACAAAATATAAAAATAACCAAAGGTTACAGTTACTGCAAAAGCCAAACTGTCCCCCTCACTCAATTACACATTTAACAGCTTCACTATTTAAGACAAGCTATTTAAATATAAACTGTTTAAAAAGTTCCACTACAAGAAAATGGAAACAAGAGTTTATTAGTTTTTTTTTATTTTTTAACAAGATTTTCTTTCCACATTATGAATTTAAAATACTATCAAATAGAAAAACAGGCACAGCGATAACCTGAAGCAGGAAGGGGGGGAGGGGGCATTTGAAGCCAGTTGAATTGCAAAGGCAGCTGTCCAGGGAAGAACAGAAAAGCCTAAACTGTGCAATTGCCAATGGCCTATTAATGCAGAAATAGAATGGAGTAAGCTTTAGCTGCTTTACAAAGCCACGGGAAGAGGCCTTTCCTTAGTACAACACCTTACCTCTCCTCACCAGTTGGAACAGCAGTGAGATGGATGAGACTAGACTATGACAACTTGGGATGTAAACAGGAAATACAATCCTGCCATATTTCATACCCCAACTTCACCCACCCAGCACCAACACAAACGAAATAAAGAAAATCGAACCCAAAACAACAAGCAAGAGTAGTATAGGGTCTGCTAGTCTTGCACTTGTTTTAGGGCATGTAATGGAATGTTATATGTGTGGTTTTTAGTAATGGGGGTGGTAATGGTCACTAACAGAGCAGATGGCAAAAATTGCATAGAGGACAGTATCTGAAGAGTTTATGACCACAGAAAAATGGCTGACAACTACAGACATTTTCCCCCTTGATATTCAGTTATAAAATTGAAAGGGGTAAAAAGAAGCCTTAAAATTTGTCTTTTGAATTAAAAAGTATCTAAAAGGGATAACTCACTTTAAGCTTAAAATAAAGAAAAATCTAAATCCCAAATTATGCCTGTCTAATTCCCAATAGAGAAGACCCACCCAATTTGTTATTCTTTTCCCCACTGTGCCTGGCAGAAATTGCCATGCTAGGTTAGACTTTCAGAGAGAAAGCAATTAATGCATTTCTGTTCATCAGCCAATAAATGGATGTGGTCAAAAATAATGAGTGCCAGAGGCACCACTGCCTGCAAGAAGTACAGTTTGTTATATTGCTTACAATGCAGTATTTTATCCAGCCTCTTCCAGCCAAGGACCTGTAAACGGGAGTCTGTTCCAAAACCTTCCTCCTCTTCCAGTTGTCTGTGCAATGTATTGGCACTGTTCTGCTGGGCTGTCAAAAAAACTGGTTTAGAGATGCAGCTCTTCAGTCAGGTTTTGAGCCAGTTCTAACCATGTACATTTAACTCTTTCTTTTTTTCAGTAATTAGAAAAGGGGTGGAGGGTTGGGGAAAGAGGGCCAAAGAATTCTTTGCAATAAGAGCTTACCATAATGCTCCATGTTTAATGATTAGAACCGGAGCCTATCTAAACTGATCTGGTGACATCTCAGGCCCACTCCAAGTAGTCAAGTGTCCACATCCCCAAACCACTCTCAGAACAAAACTTGCATCAGACATCTTGTTGACCATTTCAGCAAAAAAAGATACAAGCAAATAGGCAACTAGGACCAAAGTCCCACCTCTTTAAAATGGTTCCTCCACCCCCTGGAAAGAACCAGACTCTAAGAACAGGTATTGGAGAACAGGGTGACAGGGAAAAGGAAGACAGGAAAAAGGTAAGAAAGAGATTACATTCTGGTGCAGTCTATTCTCTCCTAATTCTCTGAGTAAGTCTTTGTTGCATTTCAATGATTCTAAGTTCATGCATAAAACCAAATGAACAGGAGCTAATGCAATGAAGTATTCTTGCACTCTAGGCAAAAAAGCAGGGGTGGGAAACAAAAAAGAAGATCCCTGTATTCTGAAGAATACACAGAGCTGAGGTACAAAGAGGGATATGAGATACACAATGTGAGATGTTACAGAAGCATCTTCTAGCCAAAGCTAATCATGCAGGGTAGGAAACGACGTTCTAAGGAATGGACAGCCGAAGCCATTGTACACTTTTGTGAAACAGAAGGATGAACCTTGAGTAAATTCTTAGTCTTTGTAGTACTTATTGCAATCCCATATAAAGGATGAACAAAGAGGATGATAGCATTTACACTTGCGTGACAATTTATTTACCATTTGAAGAAATGAATACACCCACTGGTACATTCATGCATATATCTGCATTGTCTAATTGTTAGAATTGATCTAGTGACAGTGATTCAGAAGTCTTACTTCCCAAACCACTGGAATTTCAAAGTCTAATTAGCAAAAATGCTATTTATTTACATAATCATTGTACTTTACTCCTCTCCTAAAATTAACAGTACAACTAATAAATAAAGAGCTAAAATGAAGTAAATTGAATGCTACTAGACATTGCAAAGAAAATCAAGCCACAGAAAGTAAAAAAATATAAAAAGTTCCACCTTGCTTGTACTTAATAAATTATGTCTATAGGTATGGAAACGCAAAGCTAACCACTAGTAGTATATTAATAAATCACATTTGGAACAATGTCTAAAATCCAGTAAAAATATCTACCAAAAGAACCCACCTACTACACACACAAATACAGGTAGAGAGTGTTTAGAACAAGCTTCTGCTTACTTACCGGAGAACGGGTTTGAGGTTGTGAATTCATTGTCTGAGGGGCTTGAGGGTATACCAATGTGGTTGGACCTGCATTCTGTCCAGAGGGATAAGGGGTCTGTCAAAGAATGGCAAGAACAATATCATATTTTGAAAAACTGGGAATTCAAATTCAAAATCTTTTTTTAAATAGAAGTAGTTATTAATGTATTTTACAGATCTTCTTAACTTGTCACAATACCCACTAACTCAGAATCAGTATAACATTTTTTTCAAAGTTACTGAAAACATCTTGGTTATTAACATCAGCAAAGCAAAGTCCAGGTGCAAGGTTTTTTGGTTTTTTGGGGGAGAAGGGGGCATTTGAAGCATTTTATTTGTAAGTATGTATCATATTCCCAGGAAAACAAACTAAAGGTTTTCCCTCCAAGCTTCTGTCTTGCTTCTTTATTGTCAGTACAATGAAACAAACTGAAGTGACAGTAGCAGATTATTCTGCCATTTGCTAAACGTTTAAGTAGCACATCAAATTGTGGGCTAATCACACGTGTTCAACCTGCCTGTGACATTCACAACCATTTTCCCAGTTGTGTGATAAGCAATAACTTCAAATTAACCAATGTAATCATGTTTCATCATCACAGTTAGAAACCAGGCCATGACTGTGCGGCATCACCTAATAAAAACATGGCCTTTGCATCTCTTTTGTACATTGCTGATGCTCTTCAGAACATCAGGCAGGGCAGGACATTCATATGCACCACTCTCTTGGTATGGAAAGATGACATAAAGAGTACGTGTGATTATTTGAAATCCTAAGTGCAAAGAGAAGCTATTTTCAATTCCTCTCTTTCTGAAATAAAAAGTGCCAACAACAAACAAACGCCAACATGGCTGAGAGAACTTATTACTGCTATGATGTGCTTCCCTCAAAGAAGACATCTCAGAGACATAATCAGCAGTCAACATAGTCAACTGTTCTATTATTGCTATAATCTTGTCAAAACTTACATTTTAATCCTTTGAGTGATCCCATAAAAACCAACAATTAATAAGAACTTCACATAAAAGCCTAGCACAAGTGGTAATATAATCCACATACTAACTTACCATAGGTTTCTTGCAAATAAAAATGTAAGCTTTTCATTATGAATCTACATTAAATCTACACAGTTATCTATATACCTGACACTAAGGTTCAACACTGGGCTAGTTTCTTTTCTTACTCTAGTTCTACTAATTCTGGCCCACATGATAAAAAACATGGCAGGAAGTACCTCATGTCTATCAGGTAGTTGGTACTGGATCAAAAATGATGCAAAAATTATTCAAAGATTTCTCACCAAAGGTAATGTTCAACACTGTTTCAGACACTGAATTTATATGTATGTATCACACTCAAATATTCAAAGGCTAGAAGTTTGACTATTTCAACTTAAGAATAAACGGTGAATGAATTTATCAATTCTGGCAACATTGAGATCAGGAATATATTTCTTCAAATTCTATTATAGCATTTGCACACAGTTTTAAAACATAAATTTTATTCTTCATTAAATTAAAGAAAACCATTAGTAAGTAACGAAGCTCTTTCAACTTAGAACATATCTTAGTGCTTCATTCTCAACATTTAAGTTGGTCGTATTTGTTTTTGGTTTTTTTGAGACAGAGCCTCAAGATGTCCTGGGTAGAGTTCCGTGACATCACAGCTCACAGCAACCTCCAGCTCCTGGGCTCAAGCAGTCTCCTGCCTTAGCCTCCCAAGTAGCTAGGACCACAGGTGCCCACCACAACACCCAGCTATTTTTTGGTTGCAGCCATCATTGTTGTTTGGTGGGCCCGGGCTGGATTCGAACCGCCACCTTAGGTGTATGTGGCTGGCGCCTTAGCCACTTGAGCCACAGGCGCCAAACCAAGTTGGTGGCATTTTTAAGGATAAGTTTCTAGTTGTCAAGATACTAAATAAGAAACTGAAATATACTACTCAATAAAACCAAGAATGCTATCTCTTTCTATACTTCAAAGAATTAGGTGAGCACTTTGCTCTCTCATAATGGCTATACTAAAGTTAAGAAAAAGTAACCCAGGGTTATTCACAGAACATGCTAAAAGGGGCAGCACCTGTGGCTCAAAGGAGTAGGGTGCCAGCCCCATATGCCAGAGGTGGCGGGTTCAAACCCAAGACTGGCCAAAAACTGCAAAAAAAAAAAAAAAGAAGAACATGCTAAAAGTATACATGATAGCCACATTTGACTTCATTCAAAATTTTAACAATAGTTTCAACAATGGAACCAAAGAAGGTAACACACAAAATGAACTGAAAAAGCAGCATATGAATTAGTGTTCAGAGACAAAGTTCTTTTATTCAGTAACAGCACTCTTCTTGAACACACAAATAGCTGGGGCTCTGTCCCAATGTGCCTCTTCTAGGCCATAACATTGTTCTCAAAACGATTTTAATAATAAGAAATTTATTTCCAAATAGGTTACGTCTTCTATTATAAATAGACTACAAAACAATCAAGTATGTTTTCATCTTATCTTTTCATGGTATGTATGCCAAGGCTAATTCATACTGTGTAAGCAGTTTCATCTAAATGCAAAGCATACTATCTGATGTAGCCACATCTGTAAGTAATTGTTCTGTGACAATGTATGCCACTGTGTGGCCAACAATATGGAATTTTTAATATCGGCATGTAATGAAAAACATTTGCCATACATCTCTCAGCTCTCTCTGAGCAATCTATACAATTATGAAAATATGTCTATAACATTTTTTATAACATCGCAAATTTAAAGTGTAGAATTAAGTATAAAAGAACCCTATATCTGTGTTAATTTAAAATATATATATGCACATAGTTTACACATCACATGTAAAGATAAAATTTCTTAGGAAGATATATAGCAAACTTAACTTTGGCTACTTTGGAGGAATGAGAGTTGGAAGGAGGATAAAGTATAAAATTTGTAGGTTTTATTTTTATTATACACTGCTATATTATGTGTTTTTCCTTTCCAAGGATCACCAGGATTATTTTTTATAATAAAACTAAGACAGGTCAGACACAGTTGCAAATGCCTATAATCCCAGGACTTTGGGAAGCTGAGGCAAGAGGATCATTTCAAACCAAGAGATTGAGACTAGCCTAAGCACCATAGCAAAACCCAGTTTCTATTAAAAAAGAAAAATGTTATTAGCCAGATGTGGTGGTGCACACCTCTAGTCTTAGCTATTCACAAAAGCTGAGGTAGAAGCATGGCTTGAGCCCAGGACATCAATGCTGCAGTGAGCTATGATTATGCCACTGTACTCCAAGATGGATGACAGAATGACACCAAAGAGATCCCACCTGTTTAAAAAAGAAAGAACAAAGAAAACCTCTGCCTTTCAGTATCCCCACCCCACCCCATGCACATACTACAAAAATGCAAAGCAAATCAGAAAATTCAGTAGGAGGTCTGCTATTTTGTGAACTTCTAAACGAATTTTATACACAATTAAAATTTCATAAAACAAAATAAAGGTTGAATCAATAATATTTATTGAAATCTAGCAAAACAAAGAGCAGGCTATGAGCTATGTGGGTAACTAAGGCCAAGGACAGATGATCATTTTATTTATTTTAATCTTTAAGAAGTTTATTATTAAATCAATAAAGAGATAGAGATAGATATAACAAGTATTTACTCAGCCAGTATATAATCCACTGTAGTAAATTTCTTTTTTTTTTTAAAGCAGAATCTTACTCTGTCACCCTGGGTAGAATGCTATGCCATCATAGCTCATAACGACCTCAAACTCTTAGGCTCAAGCGATCCCCTTGCCTTAGCTTTCCCAAGTAGCTAGGACTACAGGTGCCCCCACCATTACGCATGGCTAGGTTTTCTTTCTTTCTTTTTTTTTTTAATTAAATCATAGCTGTATATATTAGTGCATTTATGGGGTACAATGTGCTGATTTTATATATAATGTAGAATGCGTAATACATCAAACTGGTTAACATGGCCTTCACCTCACTTACTTAATTATTGTGTAAGACATTTATACTCTACATTTAATGTATCTGACATGTACCCATGTAAATGCGCCATAGGTGTGGTCCCACCAATCACCCTCCCTCCATCCAACCTCCCTCCTCCCCTACCCACCCCTCCTCGTCTTCCCTCCTTCATCCTGGGCTACAGCTGGGTTTTATCTTTTTAGTGGAGATAGGGTCTCTCTCTTGCTCAGGCTGATCTCAAAATCCTGAACTCAAGCAATTCACCCACTTCAGCCTCCTAAAGTGCTAGGATAACAGGTATGAGCCACTATGCCTGGCTTGTAGTAATTTTAAAAAAATAAAACATTTAATAATATGAAATAAATGACAAGAGAGAATGCCAAAATTAACCCATATACATGTAGATACGAAATGTACTTAGTAGTATTTTAATTCGTGAGGGTGAAGATGATGGTCCAAAAGGTACAGGTGGCTCTACTCCAAGAGATTTTGGAGGAGAATTTCCCAAACATTGCTAGAGATACAGAACTTCAGATAGCAGACAGTTTCAGAAACTCAGCAAGACTCAATCCAAATAAAGCATCTCCACAACAGGTTGTGAGTAACTTTGCCAAAGTTAAGATGAAGGAGAAAATTCTGCAAGCAGTCAGATTTAAGAAAAGCATCACCTACAAAGGGATAAATATCAGAATAACTGCAGATCTCTCAGCCGAAACGTTTTAAGCCAGAAGAAGATGGTCTTCAACCTTCAATCTCTTAAAACAAAACAACTTCCAGCCTCGGCGCCTATAGCTCAACCGGCTAAGGCGCCAGCCACGTACACCTAGGGTGGCGGGTTCGAGTCCCCAGCCCGGACCTGCCAAACAACAATGACGGCTGCAACCAAAAAATAGCCGGGCGTTGTGGCGGGCGCCTGTGGTCCCAGCTACTTGGGAGGTGGAGGCAGGAGACTCGCTTGAGCCCAGGAGTTGGAGGTTGCTGTGAGCTGTAATGCCATGGCACTCTACCCAGGGGGACAGCTTGAGGCTCTGTCTCAAAAAAAAAAAAAAACAACTTCCAGCCCAGGATCCTCTATCCAGCTAAACTGAGTTTCACTTGCAATAAAGAAATC